AAAAAAAAAAACACCAAAACCCATCGCCATCGAGTTGATTTTGACTCACAAGGACCCTATAGGACAGAGTAGAACAAGGCTGTAACCTTTATGGAAGCAGAGTGCCACATCTTTCTCCTGTGGAGGGACTGGTGGGTTCAAACTGCCAACCTTTCAGTTAGTAGCCAAGTGTTTAACTGCTGCACCACCAGAGCTCCTTCTGTAAAGGTTACAGCTTACAAAACCCTATACGGCAGTTCTACTCTGTCCTATAGGGTTACTGTAAGTCAGAATCGACTTGACAGCACACAACAATAACAGGGCAGAGGGGTTAGATGAGGAGTGACTGCTAATGGGGACAGGGTTTCTTTTTGGGGTGACAAAAATGTTCTAAAATTAGATTGTGGTGATGGTTGTACAACTCTGTAAACGTACTAAAAACTATTGGTATACAAAGTATATCTCAATAAAGTTGGTTTAAAAAACAACAGCAGGTAGACTGACAGGTGATGTCTCAATAGCAACCATGGAAGCTAGAAGCGAACGGATGCTATCTTCAAGGTGCTGAAATGCCAGCTAGACTTCTATATCCAGGGCAATGCCTGTCAAGAATGAGGTCTAAAGAATTTTTCAAACAAAAATTGAGAACGTTTGTTACCAGAAGACAGTCACTATGGGTAATTCTAAAATTTGACTTCTCATTGCAAACACCAGACAGCTTTAAAAAAATGTTGATGCCTGGCCTCATTCCCAGAGACTCTGAATCAATTAATCTGGGATGTGGCCTCAGCATCAAGATTTTTTTTTTTTAACTGTACTTTAGACGAAGTTTTACAGAACAAACTAGCTTCTCATTAAACAATTAGTACATATTGTTTTGTGACATTGGTTGCCAACCCCACAACATGTCAACACTCTCCCCTTCTCCACCTTGAGTTCCCCATTATCAGCTTTCCTGTCCCCTCCTGCGGTTTTGTTTTACAGGCCTGTCTAATCTTTGGCTTGAGGGTGAACCTTGGGAGTGACTTCATTACTGAGCTAAAAGGGCGTCCGAGGGCCATACTCTCGGGGTTTCTCCATTCTCTGTCAGACCAGTAAGTCTGGTCTTTTTTTTATGAGTTTGAATTGTGTTCCACATTTTTCTCCAGTTCTACCTGGGAACCCCCTATTGTGATCCCTGTCAGAGCAGTTGGTGGTGGTAGCCAGGCACCATCTAGTTGTGCTGGACTCAATCTGGTGGAGGCTGTAGTACTTGTGGTCCATTAGTCATCTGGACTAATCTTTCCCTTGTGTCTCTGGTTTTCTTCATCCTCCCTTGGGCATTAAGTTGTTGTTGCTGTCTTTAAATTGTGCTTTAGGTGAAAGTTTACAGCTCAAGTTAGTTTCTCATACAAAATTTATACACACATTGTTATGTGACCCTGGTTGCTATCCCTATAATGTGACTGCACATTCCTCCGTTCCACCTCAGATTTCCCGTGTCCATTCAACCAGCTCCTATCCCTTTCTGCAATCTCATCTCGCCTCCTGACAGGAGCTGCCCATTTAGTCTCGTGTATCTACTTGAACTAAGAAGCACACTCTTTACAAGTATCATTTTACGTCTTATAGACCAGTCTATTCTTTGTCTCAACAGTTAACTATGGGGATGGTTTTTTTTTTTTTAATTGTTGTAATTAAATGACGTTTACATTTCAAGTTAGTCTCCCATACAAAATTTTTTTTTTTTACATACATTGTTATGAGACCCCAACCGCTCACCCTATTTATTCTGCAACAGCACACTCCTCCCCTCTGCCCATGATTTCCCATGAACATTCAACCAGCTCCTAACTCTCTCTGCCTTCCCATCTTACCTCTGGACAGAAGCTGCCCCGGGTCTCTTGTATCTACTTGATTAACAGGCACATTCTTCACAAGTATCACTTTATGTCTCACAGTCCAGTCCAATCCCTGTCTGAAGAGTTGGCCTCGGAAACTGTTTTAGTTCTGGGGTGATAGAGAGTCCAGGAGCCATGTTCTCTGGGGCACTTCCAGTCTCAGTCAGACCATTAAGTCTGGTCCTTTTACTAGAATTTGAGTTCTCCACCCAACTTTTCTCCTGTGCCATCAGGGACTCTCTGTTGTGTTCCCTGTCAGGGCGGTCATCGGTGGTAGCCAGGTACCATCTAGTTCTTCTGGTCTCAGGCTGTTACAGTCTCTAGTTTATGTGGCCCCTTTTGTCTCTTGGGCTAATATTTTCCTTGTGTTTTTGGTGTTTGTCATTCTTCTTTGCTCCAGGTGGGTTGGGACCAACGGATGCATCTTAGATGGGCGCTCGCTAGCTTTTAAGACCCCAGATGCCACTCACCAAAGTGAGAGGGCATCAAAATTTTCAGAAGCTCCCCAGGTGATTGAAATGTTCATAAAACAAACAATCCTTGAGCACCTATGATGTATTAGGAATTATTCTAGACACTAGGAACACAGCAGACAAAACAAACAGAAACAAAGCAGCCAAAAAACCCTGCCCTCACAGAGCAGGCCCTGAGGGAGGAACACGTCTGGCTTGTTCCTGGATCCAGGAGGCCAGTGGGGCTTGAGTGGAGTGAGCTGAGAGAGTAGTCTGAGAGGAAGGCAGTGAGATGGGGTGGGATATGGGGGAGGGGGCAGTATGAAGGCCGTGGGGACTCTGACTTTTACTTTGAGTGAGATGGGAGCTATAGCAGTGTTTTGAGCAGGGGAGGGACATGCTTTGATTTTTATTCTAACAAAACCCTCTGCGCTGAGCAGAAAATGGACTGTATGTAGGGGGGGCAAACGGGGAAGCAAGGGGCCCAGTGAGGAAGCTGGCAGGACACCTGACAGGCTCACAGTGGGATGGGGTGCGGAAAAGCTGAGAGGTGACAGATTCTGGATCTACTCTGCAGGTGGAGAGGGCAGGATCTGCTACTCTACGTGATGAGGGGCCAAGGGCCCTGGACAGGGGCAGACTACCCAATAAACAAGGTAAGCACAGGTTTATTTGTGCTTATTTGCTAACCTGTAGTGAACAATTTCACATTTTTTCACCACTTCAAAAATTCTACTTCTAGGTATGGCTGGCATCTGCCTCTCCCAACCCCACAGCACCTCTGCCTTACTACAGAATCATAAGCCGCTTCAAATTTACAGTCCCTGACCCAGTAAGCAAGGTAAGCATGTTTACTTGTGTTTATTTACTAATCTGCAGTGAACAATTTCACATGGTTTCATCACATTTTGAATTAGTAAATAAGCACAAGTACAATAAGCACAATAAGCTTACGTAGCTCATTGGTAATCCACCCCTGGTCCTGGAGGATTCAGAGGCCTGCTGCAAATTTGCTGCCCTCCAGGGCATTCCGAATCATAGCGACCCCTATATACAGGGCCCTATAGGACAGGGTAGAACTGCCCCATGGAGTTTCCAAGGAGCACCTGGTGGATTCGAACTGCCCATCTTTTGGTTTTGGTTAGCAGCCATAAGTCTTAACCACTACGCCACCAGGGTTTCCCAGTCTGTACCAAATGCAAGCACGCTTCATTACTGACTCAATAAACTCGTGAAGACTGAACGCCGCCGAGAGGCGGCGCCCCGCCTGTTGAGTGGGGGGTTCCGAGCCTGCCAGGTCTGGATTCAAATCCTGACTGTGTGACCTTGGGCAGTTACAAACAGAGCCTCCGTTTCCTCACCTGCAAACAGAGCTAAGGACCGGGGCTGGCCACGGTGTCCTAGGGGCTAGGGAGTGCGGACGCCGCGGAGGTTGGTTCCGTGTCGCCCGGGTTCGGAGTACGCGCTCCCTGCCGGTCCCCCCGCCCCGCCCTGCCCTCCTCCTACCTTGGCGCGGCGAGCGCGACCGGGCGGGTGAGTGGGAGTCAGGGAGTCGGGGATCAGTCTCTGGAGACAAGAGTGGGGTCGCTCGGACAGGGGACTGAGCACCTGGAACCGCCGAGACCCCGGGGCGGGGCTGGGGGCACCAGAGACGGCCTAGGCTTCCGCCTCCGCCGGTGGGCCGCTCAAGGTCCCGGATCGGTCGACAGTTTTCCGCTCCCCCCGTCCCGCCCCACTTCCGGGGCCGCCACTTTCACTTTCTCTTCCGCTAAAGCTGCTCCCTCTGCCTCCGGAATGGCTGGGCCTCCCGCGGAGGGGAGCGAGGTGGGCTGGAATCCCGGGCGCGGGGCCGCTCCTGCAGGGAGAAGTGGGGGCCTCCCTGGGGGCTCTGGGCGCCCCGCAGTGTGGTGTCGGGCCAGCCCTGCTCCACGGGCCTGCCCGTCTCCTCTTTCGCTCCGTCCGGGCCCGGATCGGTGCCCCCTGCTCTTTCACCCTCCCACGTGGGGTCCCGACCCGTGCCCTATCCCAGGCCGGATCTCCGGTTCCTGGGTCGTGTGATGCGACTCGATTGCTGCCGGGAACAACGCGGCCCAGAGAGGGCTCGGGCCGCGCCGGAGGCCACCCAACCGGGGCTGAGTTGTTCCTGGTCGCCCGCCCTCCCCTAGGTGACCCGGAGGTAGCAATTTCCAGGAGCCGCAGCCCCCGCCTGGGGGCATGGGCCCACCCGCGCCAGATGGACGAGAAGACCAAAAAAGGTGGGCACAGACGGAAGGCGGCTGGGGGACTTCGGAGGTGGGCCCCTCTCCCACAAGGGCCTTCCCTCTCCCAATCTGCCCCTCCGTTTCCTCCCTCGGGACCCCCTGGCTTCCAGAGGCGTTTTGTTATTCATTTACTTGCCGATCCTGAGACCTCCTTGGGCCACTCTGTGCGGAGATCCGGGTGGCGGCTCCCAGAGGACACAGGACGTTGAACTTGGAGACCTCCCTGCTGCGGTGGGGAGACAGACCTCAGCTGAGTTGAGTACCAGGGAGTCTCCTGGCCTTCCCTCTTGGCTCCTGCACTCAGCTTTGTAGAACCCAAGTCAGGTCTTGCCACTGGCCTACCCTCAACTCTCCCCTGCTCCTCTGTGCTCTCAGAACAAAACCCACAGCCCTTGAGCAGCCTACACGCCTGGTGGCTTCGCTGACCTCTCTGGCTTCTTTGTTCTAGTCCAGCCATTTCTTGTCTTAAAGCCTTTGCTCTTGCTGTTCTTTCCAGCTGGAAGTCTTCCCTAAGACTTGACATGTCCAGTTCCTTCTCCTACAGGTCTCAGCTTCAATATTATCTCCTCCCAGAAGCCTTCCCTGATCTCTTTACCTTGTTTATCTCCTTTTGACCATGGATCACAAACTGAACTTTGTGTTGTTGGTGTTAAACTTGTTAACTCTCTCCCCACTGGGCTGGGAAGTCCTTGAAGAAAGGGACCCTGTTTATCTTGGTCATTGCGGAATCCCAGTTCCTGGGACAGAGGCCAGCACACAGTAGAAGCTCAACAAATGCTTGTGGGATAAATTAATGGAAGTATAAAGGGAAAAATGAACCCAGCTGAGCCTGGGGTGGGGAGGAGTGGTGGAAAATGTCTGAGAAGGCCTCCCAGAGGAAGGGAGTTTTAAGCTGGGTGCTGAAGGGTATGTAGGAGTTCTTCAGGAAGAGAAGAGAGGAAGCAGCATGCACAAAGGATCACCTCCTCCCCTACTCCCTCGCCCCCAGCTCTTGAGAGATAAACCCTAGTACTAACCTGCTCCTGCTGTGCTGGCTTTCAGCAGAGGAGATGGCCCTGAGCCTCAGCCGGGCAGTGGCCGGTGGGGATGAGCAGGTGGCCATGCAGTGTGCCATCTGGCTGGCGGAACGAAGGGTGCCCCTAAGTGTGCAACTGAAGCCTGAGGTCGCTCCATCACAGGACATCAGGTGAGGATGTGAGACTCCCTGTTATTATTAAAACCCGTCAAATAGGTTCTGACTCATAGTGATGCTGTGTACAACAGAACAACTGCCCAGTCTGGTGCCATTTTCACAATCATTATGCTTAAACCCACTGTTGCAGCCACTGTGTCAGTCCATCTCATTGAGGGTCTTCCTCTTTTTTGCTGACCCTCTACTTTACCAAGCATGATGTCCTTCTCCAGGGACTGGTCCCTCCTGATAACACGCCTAAAGTACGTGAGATGAAGTCTCGCCATCCTCGCTTCTAAGGAGCATTCTGGCTGTACTTCTTCCAAAACAGACTTGTTTGTTTTTCTGGCAGTCCATGGTGTATTCGCTCTTCTTCACCAACACCATAATTCAAATACATCAATTCTTTGGTCTTCCTTATTCATTGTCCAGCTTTCACATACATATGAGGTGATTGAAAATACCATGGCTTGGGTCAGGCGCACCTTAGTCCTCAAAGTGATGTCTTTGCTTTTTAAAACTTTAAAGAGGTCTTTGCAGCAGATTTGCCCAGGGCATTATGTCTTTTATTTCTTGACTGCTGCTTCCTGGGAGGGAGTCATTTCAGGGAACCATTTTGAGAATAGCTGGTGTGGTAAAAAGTGGTTGAGTTCAGTCGTGGCTCTGGCATTTACCAGCTGTGTGACCTTGGACAAGTTACGTCGTATCTCTGTGCCTTAGTTTTCTATCCTGAAAATTGAGATGATAATAATAGCTAGTGTTTATTTTAAAATTTTAGCTTTTTATTTTGAAATACTTCACACTTACATAAGAGTTGCAAAATTGTGCAAAGAATTCTCATATACCTTTTACCCAGATTCTCCAAATATTAACACTTTACCACATTTGCTTTGCTTCATCATTCTCATTCTCCTGTGGTAAAATGTTAATATTTGTCTATATAATTTATATGTATATAAATTATATAACTATCCTAGTGGGTGGAAGTAGTATCTCATTGTGGTTTTGATTTGCATTTCCCTTCTGGCTAATGATGTTGAGCATCTTCTCATGTACTTATTGACTATTTGTGTATCTTCTCTGGAGAACTGTCTACTCAGATTTTTTGCCCATTTTTTAAGTGGGTTGTTTGTCTTTTTATTATTAAGTTGTAAGAGTTAATAATAGTTCTTTATATCTTCTAGAACACATCCCTTGTCAGCTATATAATTTGCAGATATTTTCTTTCCTTTTCTGTGGGTTGTCTTTTCACTTTTTGATGGTGTTCTTTGAAGCACAAAAGTTTTTAATTTTGATCATGTCTAGTTTATCTGTATTCTTTTGTTGCTTGTGCTTCTGGTGGCATATCTAAGAAACCATTGCCTAATCCAAGGTCATGAAGATTTGTGCCTCTGTTTTCTTCTGAGAATTTTATCGTTTTAGCTCTTATATTTAGGTCTTTGGTCCATTCTGAGTCCATTTTTATATATGGTGTGAGGTAGGGATCCAACTTCATTCTTTTCCATGTGGGTATCTAGTTGTCCTAGCACCATTTGTTGCAAACAGGCTTCTTTCCCCACTTAATCATCTTGGCACCCTTGTCAAAAATCAGTTGACCTGAATGTGAGGATTTACTTCTGAACTCTCATTTCTATTCTGTTGTTCTGTTGATCCATAGGTCTGCCCTATGCCAATACCACACTGTTTTGACTACTATAGCTTTGTAGTGAGTGTGAGTCCTCCAACTTTGTTTTTCAAAATTGTTTTGGCTCTTCTGGGTCCTTGAATTTTCATATGAATTTTAGGGTCATCGTGTCAGTTTCTGCAAAGAAGTCAGCTGGAATTTTGATAGGGATTGTATTGAAATAATCTGTAGATCAACTGGCCATTTGATTTTTAAATAAAGTACTTACATACCAGTTTCTTGATACATCAACATAAGACAGTACCTGTGGACTTCTTGCTACAAAAGATGAGTAATTTAGCATACTCATCTCCCACCTTTCCTTTTCTTGACTTCCTGATTCTTGTTAAGTATCCTAGTTGACCTCCACTTGATCCTCCAAATTAACTGGTACTGTAGGTTCCTCTGTAGAACATACTGCTACCCACAGCATGGTGTACAAGATCAGCCAGCATCTTGCTACTCACAGTGTGGTCCATGCATCAGCAGCCCCACCTCAGGTAGGCTGAATCAGAATCTGCATTTTGAGAGGCTCTGGGCCAGCAGAGCTTGTTCTTCTCAGTGTTCACCAGCAGAGCTGATGCTTACCAGCAGTGGGTTGAGTTTGCTCCCTAACCTGTTTATACCAGTTGTACTTGTTATTGTAATAATTTAATTAGTTGTTACATTACTTAATAAAACCTGAGTGCTAAAAGGAAATTGTTTCTCAGAGAACTAAGTGGATTGCTTAGAAAGACAAGATAAAGGCAAGTCACCAAAAAAAACTTTACTTTAGGGTGCTGTTGTTAGGTACCCTCGAGTCGATTCTGACTCACAGTTACCCCATGTGCCAGACTAGAAGTGCCCCGTGGGTTTTCTTGGTTGTAATGTTTATGGGAGCAGATCACCAGGTCTTTCTCCCGTGGTGCCACTGGGTGAGTTCAAACCGTCAACCTTTTGGTTAGCAGCTGAGTGTACTTTAGGGTGAGAGAGTTGTAAAAAATATGGTTAAAGTCCAGAAGAGTCCTGTACTCAGATGCTTTGAGAGTGTTTCTAAGTGTTTACTCCGCTTTAAAAAAGCTGGAAATCATAGACGATGCATTATGCATGTGGTTCATACAAAAAAGGTCACGGGAAACTCCAGTCGGCAGATTTACACTCTAAGAAAAGCCGTTGGCTTTTATTACCTAGACGTTGGCCAGTGAACGTGCATTGCTTGTAAGTTAAAATTTAATGTTTAAGATTCATCTGCCAATGTTTTTGCCTTCTCCACTTTCACCAATTTTCTGACTAACCGATCCTGATGACATTGTATCAGAGGGCTGCAGCTGTGTTTTTGTTGTTGTTGTTATTGTTAGTATTTAGGGAATAGATTTTAAATTTTGTTTTCTAAGTATAATTCAGGCTTCTGTGCTTTGCCTCTAGGTAGATTCTAAAAATGTAACTTCACTAAAATAGCATTTGCAGTATTTTCATTATGGTAATAGTATTCACTGTAGAATAAATGTTGTTAGCTGTTGTTGAGTTGGCCTCCAACTCACGGCAACCCCGTGTACAACAGAATGAAACGCTGCCCGGTCCTCTGCCATCCCCATGATTGGTTTCGGATTGGACCATTGTGATCCGTAAGGTTTTCATTGGCTGATTTTCAGAAGTAGATCACCAGGCCTTTCTTCCTAGTCCATCTTATCTGGAAGCTTCTCTGAAACCTGTTCAGCACAAGCCTCCACTGACAGATGGGTGGTGGCTGCGTAATGGGGTGGATTGGCCGGGAAGTGAACCCAGGTCTTCCGCATGGAAGCAAGAATGGAAATTGCACGCGCTTATATGTTTCACTGTTGCTAGAAGAAGGACATTTTAAGGGTTATGATCCAGTTGTCTTTCAGTTTCTTTTTCGTTTTCTCCCATTTTCTTGCATTAGAGTCATCTCTTCTTGTTTCTTGTACTTCAAAAACTTTGTGTGGAGAAAGTGGATGCTAAACTTTTTTTTTTGCATCTCTCTGATGACTAATGATGCTGAGCATCTTTTCATGTGTTTGGTGACCATTTTAATGTCCTCTTTGGTGAAATGTCTATTCAAGTCCTTTGCCCATTTTATGATTGGGGTATTTGTCTTTTTGTTGTTAGGTTGTTGAAGTTTTATATATATATATTTTAGTTATTAGATTCTTGTCAGATGTATGGTTTCCAAAGATACTTTGCCAGTCAGTAGCTTGTCTTTTCACTTTTTTGATAAAGTCTTTTGATGAACAAAAGTTTTTAATTTTTATGAGGTCCCATTTATTTCTTTTGACTTTTGCTGTTTGTGCTTTTGTTATTATATTAGATAATCCATTGTTGAAAGCTAGGCCTGACAGCACTGCCCCTGCTTGTTCTTCTAAGAATTTTATGGTTTTAGTTTGCACATTTAGGTCTCTAATCCATTTTGAATTTGTTTTTGTGTATAGCGTGAGGCATGGTTCCTGTTTCATTTTTCTGTATGTGGAAATACAATTTTCCCAGCACCATTTATTGAAGAGACTCTTCTTTCCCCATTGAATGGACTTAGCACCCTTGGCAAAAATCAGTTGACCGTAGATGTGTGGGTTTATTTCTGGACTCTCAATTCTATTCCATTGGTCCGTGTGTCTGTTGTTATACCAGTATCAGGCTATTTTAATTACTGTAGCTGTATTAAAAAGAAAAAAAAAACTGTTGCCATCGAGTCGATTCCAACTTACAGTGACCCTATAGGACAGAGTAGAACTGCCCCATAGGTTTCCAAGGAGAGGCTGGGGGATTCAAACTGCTGACCTTTTGGTTAGCAGATGTAGCTCTTAACCACTGCACCACCAGAGCCCCTGTAGCTGTATAGTATGTTTTAAAATCAGGAATTGTGAGTCCTCCTACTTTGTTCTTCTTTTTCAGCATTGCTTTAGCTATTTGGGGCCTCTTGTCATTCTGTGTAAAGATGAAGATATTGGTTTTTCTTTTTTTTTTTACTGTGCGTTAGATGAAGGTTTACAGAGCAAATTCGTTTCTCATTAAACAATTAATACACATATTGTTTTGTGACCTTGGTTGCCAACCCTGCAACATGTCAACACTCTTCCCTTCTCTACCTTGGGTTCCCCATTTCTGTTCATCCAGCTTTCCTGTCCCCTCCTGCCTTCTAGTCCTTGCCCTGGGCTGGTGTGCCCATTATTCTCGTATACATGGTTGAGCTATGTGTATTGTTTGTTTTATGGGCTTGTCTAATCTTTGACTGAAGGGTGAACCTCAGGAGTGACTTCAGTACTGAGTTAAAAGGATATCCAGGGGCCATACTCTAGGGCCGGTAAGTCTGGTCTTTTTTTTTTGTGAGTTTGAATTTTGTTCTACATTTTTCTCCAGC